TCGCAGTTCCAATTAGATTGTCTTTCAGAAAGGCAAAGCAAGTCTCCAGTAACCTCAAGAATTGAAAGTCGCGCATGTGCAGTGCATGTTGAACTAAGAAAATACATATTCTTGTATAAAACAAAATCGGTTTAATCCTAGTATACGGTGCCATGGAGGTTAGAATTGCCTGCATGTATTCTAGTCTAACCTCCATGTACAGTACACGGATTTTGGCACCAAAATGAGCAGTAAACGGGTTGTTTTGGTGTCGGCGACAGTTTTAAAAATAATTCCAATGCCATAGCGTATACTAGGATTTTACCGCAAAATCATTTAAACTTTTTTTCATAAGTGCTTTAGTTGTCATTTTGCAGTAAAATAAAATAAAAAAAATGTTTTTCATATCATTTAATGTTGCTTCTTCTCTCTAAATTTATTTATTATTAGTAGATAATACTTTAAAATTTCAGGAAATTTTCTCTGGCATAATCCTGAAAATAATTCTAGCTGTTTGATGACATACCATCATGAAATTTAATGCTCATATTTTTTGCTTATGTATGCTGCTAAATAAATATAAATACCTGAATTTGTTTTAAAATATCATTAAATAGATTTCTTTTGTTTTTCTGAAAAAAAAAAAAAAAAAAAAAATTAATCCAGATTGAGCAGATTCTAATCTCAATCTTCAGTGGAGAAAATTCATATTGTAGTTATAATAGGATTTGGGGATTATATGTTATAAGTCATATGTAATTGGCAAATTTTTGTGTTTTCAAGTGGTACGATAATTAATTTACTTCTTAGAACAGCTGGTATGCATTATGCAGATAGACTGGAATTTTCTTAAAACACACCTGGAAAAGTCAGTGAATTTCATTCTCTTGTTTGAGTGGCAACCCTGAATGAATTAAATTATAAAATATTATGATAATAATGAAGAAGCCCTAAATTTCTGTTCTATTAATATTAATTTACTTAATAAAAAACCTGTCTCATTATTAAAGACAGTGGGGAAAAATGTCAACTTTTTATGCAAGACTTTATAGAGTCATTAGAATTTTTTTAAGCCAGGAGACATGAAAAATGAGCAATGCCCTCACCGGGACTCGAACCTTCACCTTTTGAATATGCGCTGAGCATGCTACCACACCACAAAGGTATATGGAAAGAAGGGGCAAAATACCCTTTATATTCCCCCTTTTAAAGGGCAGCTTGGGATCCCAATCACCAAATCTTGATGGTGACGAATTATTATCCATTACCTTTTAGTTTTCCACTGTAGAATAATTAGGATTTTTTGAAGCCAGGAGATGTGAAAAATAAGCAAGGCCCTCGCTGGGACTCGAACCTGGACCTGTTGAATATGTCGAGAACATTTAACTGGCCTTATTTCAAAATCTGCTCTTGTTTCATCAACAAGTTTCCCTGCACTTCTGGTAGATTTAGGTTTTAAAAATTTTGTCACTACAAATTGTTTGCTTTTGCTTTGCAAATCTTTATAAATTTCTTGATAGGTGTATAAGTAATTTTGTAGATTTTTTTTTAAATATTTGTGCTCTCTCTGGCAGAGAATCATTCTCTAAAAAACTAAGATTACATTTGTTTTGGCATGTCCAAACATCTTTCTATACCTTTCAGAGTGAAGTTTTTGATTTTTTTCGTTGAAAAGTCTTTCAGAATTATCTTCAGTTGGTAATATTTTGGATATAAATGTTACCAAATTTGATTCGTTTATTTCATTTTCTGTAACTAATTCTAGAATATCATCAACAGTTATTTCAATGAATCCATCGTCACACCAGGAAGGTATATGGAAAGGAGAAAGAAAATACCCTATGACTTGAAATTTTTAGTTAAATAAGATAAATATTTTTTAGCTAAATATTTATTTTTTTGTACCAATAGATATGTGATATACGCACAGGATAATGTTGTACAGCTATAATGCAAATTCTTGTCTAACAAAAACCATGTCCTCTACATGCGTCTACAAATGTTTGTATATTAAGAAAAGTTATTTTAGGCAATTGAAAGTATTATTTACCTTGCTTAATTAGCTTAATCTTGAGAAAATGTAGAAATATTTTCTATTTTTTCTCAAGATTAAGCTCTCATACTCTAATTTTTTTTTTTTTTTTAATTTTTTATTTCAGAAATGTGAATAATGAAATAGTTGTAAATACTAAGCTGAAATTAAAAAAGCCTAATAATGCATGGCATAGCTATTCCTCGCGAAGAACTTAAAAGGGGAAGTGTATGATGAAATTCTAAGGTAAAAATAATCTGTAGACTATGTTGACATATTAGCATTTAACTTCCCAAAATAGTGTTAAAATTTGTTTTCTGCAGCAGTTCTTCATATAAAGTTTAGAATGAACAACACGGGCATTTCGAGGGTTTGGAATGGACAGATTTCAGGGTCGAGCAGTGCAAAAGGATTAACCAGCGAAATTTAATGGTCTTTCCAACTTTTGAGCTATCTGCACATATGAGGACTAGAATTGGGCTATCCTTGGGCTCATATAGGCATCTTCATGCCTATATGGATGACAAAACACAAATTGAGTAATTGAACAGTTAGGTTTTTAGGCAACTTTCCCTTGAAAAGATCTGTCACCTGCCTGCTTAACAATTATTCACTTTATGAAAATTAATATAATATTAAAAAATTCTTTAAAACTTTTAGATTAAATTTTTGCATTATTAAATATTTTTTCATGTTTTTAGATACTTGCACATAATTTATTGTTTCGTGCGTACGGGTTCGTAGTGGATTGAAAGCACAAGTCAATAAAAAGTTAATAAAATTTATTCTTATCACAACAAATAAAACAAAATGCTGAAATTTCCTCAGAGATATTCGTTCAATATCGCAATGTCTCACAGTAGTTATATTTTAAACTACTAAAACGTTCACTAGAACTCAATTCAAAACAGAGAAAGCTGAACCGATTTCATTGTGAATTTGCTACAGTCAACAAGAACTAAGTAAACAACTGAATTGAGATGTTTTAATCTGGCTTTTATAAGATTTTTAATCATGCACGAGAATATTCTGGTATTTTATCAATTTTTCTGGATAGCAAAAGAGTGCAATTATGAGATATCTATTTATTAAAATGTTAAATGCGTGTGCTTCTGTATTTTAATTTTTCCTGCATAGCTTTCTTTTCAAAATCTTGCACTGTATTCCACCGGAATACAAAACAATTTTAATTACAAATTCTATTAAAAATAGCTAAGTAAATACAAAAAACATAACATCACATATGCTTTCTGAATTTGAATGATATTGCAAATTAGTTTGCAACAATAATTAATCTTTTATTTATATACAATTAAATTTTCATAATTTAAAATTTAAATTTGAATTAGCTTTATATGAATGAGAGAATATTTGTTAAATTGAAATTATATATATATATGTATTCTGTGCATGAAATTTACTGCTTTGGTACTTCAGTTATTTTTTCTTTCTGTTTACTCTCATGCACATTTCCCCTCTCTATTATACAGTGCGATGCATGTTAGTTTTTTTATAATGCCATCTATTATTAAGTTTATTAATAAAGGGTTGATAGTTATGTGCCTGTACTTCATGTATGCTCCTAATGAATTTATTAAATTGATATACACAGCCAAAAGTCTTTAATCCGGACTCGTCGGGACTTCGGCGATTCCGGATTATCGATTTTTCCGGATTATAGATCATCAGTTTAAATCTGGTAAGATGGCATGCAGAAATTATAAAACTAAAAATATGAAACCGTAATTTATAAAATAATGAGCAATTATGATCTAAAGGGTATCCAAAATTTACAAAAAAAAGAAGCTTAATATTTATTTGTTTACTATTATTAAACATTTCTTTAACGCGCGCATGCGTAAAGCATACTTACTGCATAGCCGAAATTAGAAAATTGCAACCAGAAAACTATTTGATTTGTATTCGTGATATTTATAATGACGAGGAATTTGATTTAAATCATATCAAAGACGGAGTACATCGAGATTAAATACTACATTTAGTAAGGAATTATAAGCCGAATAAAATAAAAACATCTGCCCTGAAGATAACGATAGTGCTGACAGATCAACTTCCAGTTCATTGCGCGCCGCGACGTCCCCCCCCCCCCCCGCGCAGAGCAGCGTGAAATTGATAAACAGATTTCGGAACGGTTAGATAAACAAAGGATATGCCTTTATCCATTTTTTGTAGCAATTCGTTTTTTGTTTGATGGACATCGAAACATACTTTCGTTTTCTAGATCCTTTGGGAGCTCCAGCATCGGAAATTCTATTTGACATAATCGAAAGTTCAAGCTTACTTTTATAAAATTGCTCTTACAGTCTGCAAAAAATAATAAGCCGGATCCAATTCGAAGATTAAGGAACAACGCAATTATCAACATTAACTGAAATAGATAATTTTAGCTTATACCGTCCGTCATACATTAAACGCGCACGCGAAAACGTATTCTGCACTTGCGCAGATGCATATGCGCAGTCGTAAATGTCTTGCGCACACGAGTAAAACGCCTATGCGCATGCGTCAATGCGGCGCATGCGCAGAAAGATTTTAGCTTTGAGATTATAGATCATTCCGGATTACGGGTGTCCGAATTAACGACTTTTGACTGTATATGCTTTTCCTGCTCTTGTTGTAATTGCCTATGCTTCAGTAGTTGATTTTAAAGTGAATTCAAATTATTTAAATTTAGTATGTCTTAGTAAATTTATTGATAAGAACTATTAAAAATTTGCTACAAGTATAAGTTTTTATTGTTATACTAAAATATTTACTGTGTTTGCTAAAGGATGTTGTAAGATATAGCTTCGAGGTCGTGTATTTCTATATGAAACATACAGTATTGAATAAAGCAAATATTTCTTAATATTTCAGATCTTAATAATACTAGTTTTATATTTTACTCACTGGTTCTCCCACTCCCCATTTTAAATGCAAGTATGTTTGTTTATGAGATTTTTATTTTTATTTTTATTTTTTCCCACAGACCAAAAAGGCTTATGAGGACAACTGAAGATAGCTTCTTTTCTCCCGAGTTTCATGTTTTGACAGATACTGCAGCTAAAGCTGAAAGTGTGTGCAAATATGATATGGATGATTTGGACAGTCAGTGGCTGAGGATATATAATGAAAAACGAGAAGATCTAGGTACTTTTAAAAGTTGATTTAAGAATTAAATGCAATTTTTATATTTATTTTATATTTTATTGGGAGATTTAAGAAAGAGGTGAATTCCGTAATGTAAAACTTTTTCTTGAGATCACAAGAGATTTAATGAATGAAACTGGTCCTTTTAATTAGAAGTTTTTTTTAAGATTATTTAAGCAAATCATATTAATATAAAAACATATGTGAACAAAAAATACAGTAGAATCCTTTTTAACCAACAGCAACAAGACGTCACTAGATAAGAAAGTTTTCAGAATAATTGAGTATATATTTCTAAACATTACCTATTCATGTTTTATTGTGTTGTCCATAGAAATTTCAGCCCGCAAAGTCTGTCGATCACGTGTCTAAATTTTGTCATCATCTTGAGAGAATGTGACAGAAACAGAATTGTTTATATCCACTCAAATGTGGCCTGCTCTTTACTGTTACTAGCCTTCTCTGAACAGTTAACACAATTTCAAGGTATTGATTGACCTTGGGGTGCTGTATGTATTTTAAAACCAAGAAAATTTTCTTCATCTACAAACTTGATTACAGGCCACAGTTTATACCATCAGCGACATGTTTTTTGTGTGTATCCATGCAAGAGACATAGCAAATCTGGCATTTTTCATTATTTCTGAAAATAATAGACATAATGTTCAAAGTTCATGCAACAGTGCATAAAAAGGCTTTGTAATTCATCTTCATATTCTAGATAATTTCTTGGGCCATTGGTTAGATAAAGCTTGTTACATTGAAGAGCAGAAGAATACTGTAAATGTTTTCCACATTTAAATCTTCATATTGTTGGCCTATAATATATCTTTTTCCCTCATAGGCCTAAGTTCAAGATTTAAAAGCTGTCATTATTTTGATATAACTAGTTAATTTGGTGCCATTTACAAGAGATTTTATTATATCATGTAAAGCAAGAATTATCCTCTTGTATTAAAATTAATTGTTTAATGCATGTTTGCAATTAAAACTTTTGGTAAATTTTCCTTAATGTTTCAGGTTTGCCTCTTATTGATGAAGAAACATTGGAATTAATTTTAGAGGATTTTGAAACACAGGTATAACTATTTTCTTTTTTAGCTGTATATATGTAATAATCATTTTTTTTTTTACAATAATTAGCAGTATTTTAGTCTTACTGTACTTTTCAAGAATACAGCAGCTAAAAGTACTATTTCATATAGATTCCTGTTGTACCTAAATTTTGGGTCTCAGTGCTTTCCCTAAATACTAAGCATTTTGTCATCCCTTAATTTTGTTGCTCCCTGCTTCTCTTCAGTTCCAAAAATTTTGTATTCCCTAAGTTCTGCCGCCTAGTGTGGCCATACGAGCTCTGGTGCCGATTCTGGGTTTATGGGAGTAAGAAATCAGTTATTCTTAATTCAGATAACCATTAAATATAATGGTTTTGGACTATAAGTATCATTAACAAAATCAATATTTAGCACATGGAAAGAAATCCTCATCAACATTTCTTAGTGCATTTAACTTAAATCATCGCCAAGCGCAATGTCAACATTAAAGATTGCCATACACTTTGTTATTCAATTACTAATATATATATATATAATTTTTAGGCATCACTGCATGAATCATTACTCAAGTAGTCATGTGTTGATAAACATGTTGTGATAAAAGCAAAATATAATAAGCAATGATTCGCCAGGTTGTTGTCAGGGATATAAAATATTAGTAGGTGTAAAATCAATGAAGTTTCTATGTAGAAGGTTTCAGTTTGAAATGAATGCCAAGCAGGCCAAATTCTTAATCACACAATCAGAACTCTCCACATGTTTTATTACGGAAGGGAGAAAAATTAAATGTCCATGCGCAATGAGTTCAAACCTTTAAAAAAATGTTGGGAGTGACTTTGAGGTCTGGATGTCGGACTCTGCACTGTATTAGGTAATAGAGAATGTGGTTTGCATGTCCTTTGTGATGAT